ATAGATCTAGTTAATTCATTTAAGCTTCCATAATGAATATCATTAGATGTTCATAATTTTGGAGTATTGCAAACAATGCTGAAATGATCATTAAAAGTTTATGTATGTTCTAATTGTTTGTATTGAGGTAACATTCAAGTAACATAGAATCAACCATTAATCATGTTTAAGTGTACAATTCAGTGGCATTTAGTACATCTGTAATATTGTCCAACCATCAACTCCATCATTTTCAAACCCTAAAGGAAACCCCATAACCATTAAACAGTCCTTCCCCATTCCTCCCTCATCCTCCCCCAGCCCCTAGAATGCTCTCTGTCTTGATGGATTTACCTCTTCCAAATGTGTCATAGAAATGGAATCATGTAATGTGTGACTTCTTTAATTTAACATGTTTTCAAAGTTTGAGTCAATTGTAGCATGTACCAGTACTTCCTTCCTCTTTATGACTGACTAATATTCCATTATATGGATATTCCAATTTGCTTTTTCATTTATTCAAACTATAACTTTTAGGTAAACACACAATTGTCAGCATAATCAAAGCATTTACTGTGTCCTGAAATTCCACCAGTGAAATTCATTATTTTGACTCTTTCCTTGGCTCTTTTAAAAATGCATTCCTCAGAAAGGAAAATACCTGGACTCTGTCATTTCCTCTAGCCAGCAGGTCAGGGATGTTGGAGGGTGGGGAGGATTGGTGGGAATTCATGCAGAGCCATTACTTCTTCAGAAAACCAGCCACAGGCGGCCTAAATTAGGTCTCAGATGATGCCCTGCATATTAAATGGCAGGTGAGCAGGGCTGAGGCTCCCAGTGAGGGTCAGCATCACTGGGACCAATGCGGAGTCCTCCCATCCTCATGTCCTTGCCTGCCTTCAGCTTGTAGACATGCAGACTCAGTGGGTGAGGTGATGGCTGGGCCCACATCTCCCTCTTTAGAGGATGAAAGAATGGAAAAGTCCTGGGCACTACTAGTCCACACTGCATTTTGGTGAAATTATTACAAGACTTCCCTTTCTCTGGGAGAATGCAGACCCCAGCACAAGCAAAGAGAACAGTGACTGGATTTTAATCTTACTTGGGTCCTAGGTCAGGTGCCCTGGGGCAGCACACTATCTCCGCTCAGCTGTACATGACAACCCTGGAAATGTCCCATAAATAAGGGAGAACTCCTCCCTATTGCTGAACTACCTGGGGTCTCAACCATCATGACCAGGGGCCACCATACCTTAGATGGAGCTATGTCTCCCAGCCAGTGTGAGCGTCAGGACAAGTCCCACTCCAATTAGACTTGATTTCACAAGACTCCAAAGGGAACAGCCAGTCAGGAAGCCTTTGTTAGGCTCTTGAGTGGCTGGACCTCTGCCATGAGCCTCTCCTAACCTGCCCTGTCCATCTCCACCCTGCCAGGTAATACGGTGCCGGCAGTGTTTGCCATCCCAGCTGCCAACAGACCTGGCTTCACTGGCTACTTCATCCCAACACCTCCTTCATCCTACAGAAACCAGGCCTGGATGTCCTACGCAGGAGAGAACGAGCTCCCGGGCCAGTGGGCCGACTCGGTGAGACCTTTGTTGATTCCCTCACAAAGCTTCCTCTGCTTTTAACGCTTCAGGGAGAAAATGGGATAAAAGGTTAAGATTCTGGTGTTGTATTACCTCAGCCCCTCCCACCAACTAGGTGGCCAAAGTTGGCCATTTTTAAGGAGATGATATGATAAGGACCCCTGGAGATGTTGTAGGTCAAACGTAGGTTAGCAGTTTGAATCCACCAGCCGCTCTGCAGGAGAAAGATGAAGCTTTCTGCTCCTGTGAAGACTTACAGCTTCAGAAACCCTGTACAGGGTCACGATGAGGCAGAACCAACTCCACAGCATACCACCACCGCCACAATAAGGTGAGGCGCCCTCTGGATGGAAGGAGCTGTAGTGGTGCACCAGTTAAGCCCGCGGTGGCTAACTGAAAGGTTGGAAGTTCAAACCCACCCAGTGGCTCCATGGGAGAAAGAGGTAGTGATGTTCCTATAAAGATTACAGCCCAGAAAGCCCTGTGGGGCAGGTCTACTCTGTGACCTGGCGTTGCTGTGAGTAAAAAATCAACTTGATGGCACCTAACAGCAACCTTTGGTTGGGAAAACTTGAGATCTGCCTTCAGGTCCACTTTCTGCCTTTCCTAGCATGATAACCTTAGTCATTTCTTACCATTTTTTATAATAATTCCCATTTGTTGCTCTTGTGCCAATCAATATTTTAAATGTTTATATTGTCCTGTTTAATCTTCACAACAATCCTGTCAGGTAGATATTAATTAATATTTTGATAATTCCCATTTCACAGATGAGAAAACTGAGACCGAATTAGGTGACCTGAATTGTCTAAGGTGACAAAGCTCCTAAGTGCCATAGCCAGAATTTAAACCTACATCTGTTTGGCACTAAAGACTTTATTTGACATCCTGGTGTGGTGCTGCTGTAAGAGAAACACTGCACTGCTAACTACAAGGTCTATGGTTCAAACCCAACAACTGCTTCTTGGAAACTGTATACAGGGTCATTATTGAGACCTACTCAACAGCACTTACCAACAACAACAAAGCCTTTACTTAATGTGTTTCTTTTAGCTTTGAAATTCTGTAAAATGTTAGATGAAATAGCAGGAAAAAATTAACTCTTAGAGACTCACACTGTTGTTGATACCTCTCGTGTCTACAAGGCTTCCTGCTTGATTTCATCTGAGGACTGGTTTACCCTAGTCCCCTTCTCTCTTCTTAAATACACCCATTCATCACTTGTCACCATGGTTAGGTTCCAAAGACCCGGTGATGATGTGGAAAGAGAGGAGGACCACATCAGATCAAAAAAAGGGAGGACATAGTGCCTCCATCATTAGCATAGGGGGGAACAGCCCTCCTTACCTCTGTTGGCCTTGTGGCAGAACTTAGAAACTGATTCCTATATTGTTGTTGTTAAGTGACATCAAGTCAGTTCCCACTCATAGTAACCCTATCTACAGTTTCCAAGGAGAGGCTGGTGAGTTTGAACCTCTGACCTTATGGTTCAAACCAACCTTGCGGTCCAGTGCTTTATCCCACAGTGCACACCAGGATCCTTAAATGGACTTTCCCCATTGTGCTCACTCATTAGAATTGTTTGTAAAGTTGAAGTAAATAAGTTGGAAGAGCAGACCTGATGAGATTGCCTACACAAACCTTTAGCCTTGCTTTGGTTTGTCATTCTCATCTGTTTTCAGTAGTTAAAGTCACTGGGTATTAGTTGGTCATTTCAGAGCCAGTGAGACTGTTCCACTTATGATGTAACCATAATGTAACATTCCAGAGGTGGTGGTTGTTGTTGTTAGGTGCCATCAAGTCATTACCTCATAGCAACCCTATGCACAACAGAAAAACACTGCCAGGTCCTGGGCCAACCTCACAATTGTTGCTACGCTTGAGCCCATTGATGCTGCCACTTTGCCAGTCCATCTCGCTGAGGATCTTCCTCATTTTTTCTGACCCTCCACCTTACCAACATGATGATATCCTTCTCCAGCAACTGATCTCTCCTGGCAATATGTCTGAAGTATGAGAGACGAAGTTTGGCCATCCTGGCTGCACTTCTTCCAACACAGATCTGTTTGTTCTTTTGGCACCAGGCCTGCATCCCTGACGGTGTGCTGAGTATTACCCTGGGTACTCTGCGTGAGTCTGCACAAATACTTTCCAAAACCTTAACCCTTGCCCTCAAGACACTTACAGTAAAAACATAGCCAGGTTTATAGATACATCCAGATGCCTTTGTGTTCACATCATCTCAAAGATGAAGGAACTCAACAAACCCTAACCTAACCTTCCTAACTGGACAGCTCTATTATTCTGGCTCATCCACCTCAATGTAAGAGAGAACCAGTTTCCTATTAGTTGTTTAAATTAAGAGGAAGGTGGTTGATGCAGCCTAAGTGGGGCTTTTCTGGAGCCCAGTTACCACCTGCAGTTAAGTAGGGAGACATGTCCATGCATAGAGCTGGGCCATCTGGGACCAAGTTGAAAGAAGAGGTGATTTATGGCTCCCAAAAGGCGCGTGCAAGTCTGAAAAAGATCACATTGGAAGGTACTGGATAGAGTGGGAGAAAAATGAAACAAAATTCAAAATCATAAAACAAGACCAGGCTTGCTGGTCAGATAGAGACTGGCAGACCCTTTGGTCCCTTCAGCTCTGTTTCTGAACTCAGTCCTGTGCTCCATTGTCAGCCAAGAAATAGATAGGTACATGGGTGTGCGGGGGCAATAACACTAGTGAGGTATGCACGCCATAGCATGGTCAACCACTTGAGATCCACAGGGCAGCATTTACCTCAGGACAAAATTCAGAAGGGTCAGGAAAGATGCAGAAATGGAAACAAGGAACACAGGAAGTGGGCTGAGTGATGTTACATTGAGGGCATTGCACTTGAGATGAAATGAATTGTGGAATGTCAAACTGATGATCTGTTTTATACACCTTCACTCAATTCACAATAAAAAGATCCAAAAAAAAAAAGTGCAGGGAACTCAGAAGAGACTAGCTTGAGAAAGATACCACAGTAAACCAAAACCCATTGCGATAGAGTCTATTCTGACTCATAGCAACTCTGTTGAGGGTTTCCAAAGCTATAAACCTTTACAGGGGCAGAAAGTCTCCTCTTTCTCAAAGGGAACAGCAGGTGGGTTTGAACTTCCAACCTTGTGGTTAGCAATCCAGTGCTTATCTTGTATCGCCACCAGGCCTCCTTAGATACCAGATTAGGGGAGGGATAACGCACATCTTGCATGTCCGCATGATAAAGAAGAAGCCCCTATCGTCATTTAGATGTCTGACTTTTATGATCCCAGGTATCTCAGTATAAGGAGCTAGCTTAGATAAAATTGCCTACTCCTAGGATAGCAAGTAGATTTCATCTTGGTGCTACCTTGGATTGACTCTGTCTGGAGAAGAGATGGGAGGGAGTTTCCAGGCTCAGCAGGAAAGTATGTTGTGATCAATTGGTGATGTCTGCCATGGGCGCTGGCTAGGGGAGGAATGAAATTAGCCAGCCCTGAATTGTGACTGACAAGGTATGATGGCTCCTATGTGCATCACCTCCTCCTCTTGGTATTTACCCAACTTCCTAATATTATCCTGAGCCCATTCCAATGGGATCAAGTGTCCTTTACCTGTCCCAACCCCCAGCATCAAGGTTTAATGTAGTAGAGTTGAGGGAAGTCTCAAGAGTCAGTATTAACTCTTTCAACTCCTGACAAGTGCAGTTAGCTAGATTGTAAATCATGGAAAGAAGGATCTGACAGCTTTCTTCACAAACATTTGGCACCAGCTGACCATCCATCACTGAATTTCAAATTCAGAACACTGAGAGAACCCCTATGTCCATGCACAATCCTGGACAGTGGTGTGCCATAGTGAGAGAGGGACAGGGTTCCTGTCATCACCAAGTTGGTGGTCTGAGATGGTTGAATATGTGATGAGTGATGACTTTCATGCTTGAGAAACTTCATGGGAGCCTCTAACAGAGAGCCCCAGTCTGAGACAGGGCTAGGGAAGGTCTCCCGGAAGGAAGGAAGGAAGGCAAGGCTGCGATCTGAAGTGTGGGTTCCGTGTCCTGGCTTTGGCTCTCCATTAGCCCCAGTCACCTGTGCAGCTCCAGCTCTTATGGCCCAAGAACTGATCAGTCAAACTCTGGTTTTCCCATAAGGCTCAGTGAAACATACCAGCCCTTCTGTATAAACACTGCCATTGGCACCTATTGGCCTCGTTGTCTTTCTCTTTTTGCCTTGAAATCTTGTGGAGAAATTAAAGTCCCGAACTAGGGGCATCCTTCCCATTATGTCTACCCACCCTCAGGTTCTTGCCTGGACTGCTGAGGTGTCCTCATAACTCACCTCCTCCCTGCCTCCAGAGTGCCCTTTCTAAAACACAGACCGCCCCTCAGCCTACCAGGAGCTCTATAGCATAGTGGTTATGAGTAGGGCTGCTAACCTCAAGGTCAGCAGTTTGAAACTACCAGTCATTCCACGGGAAAAAAATGAGGCTTTCTGCTCCTGTAATGATTTACAGCCTCGGAAACCCTATATAAGGTCTCTATGAGTCAGAACTGACTCCACAGCACATAACTCCACAGTCTACCATGCCTAGGTGGTTCCCAGGTGAGACTTCAGCTGTGTCCCAGTCCTTAGGAAACTTGCCTTCTCTGAACATCATTTTGGGGTGCGAGTGGGCAGCACTAGTTTCATACTGCGCATTCCCCTACCCAAAGTGTCTCAGCCATCACTCAATCCCATCCCATTCCAGCTTCATTCAGGGCCTGGGAAGCATTTCTGTTAAGAATGGGAATATGCTGTATTCCTAAGTGTTAGGAAGATAATGGACTAGGCTGCACCAGAGAAATCCACATTCCTTCGGCTGGCAGTCCAAAGCTCTACAGTCTGGACCTACCTGGTCTCTTCCTGGAGTTCCTCCCTCTCAGATCAGACCAAACTCACTGGACCTCCCTGGGTACACTCTACCCTGTACCCATCCCTTTGCTTTCCCTTTGCCTGAAATGCCCCTCCCTACCTTGTCTTCCCGGCGTATTCGTCTTCCAGACTCAGCCCCGTTGCCTCTTCTGCCTGACTCCCCACACATGCTTTGTTCCCTGTGTTTGACTGTGTCCACAAGCACTTACTGCCCAGTGCTCCACCTAACAAGGGATATCAAGCCTTGTGAGAGCTACCTGGAGCACTATCCCCAAGTGTGGCAGTAGCTCTGTGGGGAAGCTGGGCCTGAGTCCCAAATCATAAACCTGCCCCTCTCAGTTGAAGTTTCCATACATTTAAGCATAGAACTGTGTGTCCTCCACTTTTAAAGGAAAGAACACTTTTTTACGAAATTAAGATCATACCCACATTTAAGACATTGTAGTACAGTGATTGGACTTCTGGTGTGATGCTGTGGATCAGCACTAGACTACAAGCCACAAGGTTGGCAGTTCAAATCCACCAGCTGCTCCTTGGAAACCCTACACAGGGTCACTATAAGTCGGAACCCACTCAACAGTACATAACAACAACAAGTACAGTGAGTGGAGTCCTGCTGTGGCATGGTAGGTTAAGCACTGGACTGCTAACCTCAAGGTCGGCAGTTCAGACCCACCAGCCGCTCCTTGGAAACACTATAGAGGGTCTCTATAATTAGGAACTGATTCAACAGCAGTTAACAACAACAGTACAATGACTAATTCCCACACTTGCAGCCAGCCAGACCTGTACACAACGTGGCTTCCCAGTACCAACTGCAGTCGAGTCGATTTCAGCTCATGGTGACCCCATGGGGTCCTTGGTGGTGCAAATGGTGAAGCACTTAGCTGTCAACCAAAAGGTTGGAGGTTCAAGTTCCACCTAGAAGTGGCTCAGAAAAAATAACTGGTGATCTGCTTCCAAAAGTCAGCTATTGAAACCCCTATGGGCTCTGTTCTCTGACACACACGAGCTTGCCAAGCCGGACTTATTAACTGTGTCATCTTAAATTACAGAATCATGCTTTTCTTTCAGTCTCCTCATCTATAAAATAAAGATAACAATATCTGTCTCATAGGTGGTTTGAGAATTAAATGTGATAATGCATCTTAGGAATCCTGGTGTGGTACTGCAGGATAAGCACTGGACTGCAAAGGGACTTGACGGTTCAAACTCACCAGCCACTTCTCAGAAACCCTATACAGGGTCAGAATTGACTCAACAGCACTTCACAACAACAACAATGCATAGAGAGGTCTTAGCACATAGTAAGTGGTCAGTCAGTGTTTGTTATTATTAATAATAATACATCCCAAGTTCCTTTGTGACCCATAAATAGTAACAGTTCTGTTTGCAGGATTGTGCTTATTAATAAGATAGCCAGATAGACTCATGTGTCTTCAGCAAGAGTAAACACCTAGTTAACTCATTCAACCAGCATGTTCAGTGAATCCAAATTATCGGTTTTCTAAACAAACTCATGATAGGTGTTGTTCCAGGATATGGTACCTGGCCTCCATTTGCTTGTAAATGTCTATCCTTGTCCCAGATCCCTCCTGCTTCCAGTATTGTGTCCATCCTGTGACTTGAATGCCTACCTAATCCTAGGTCCTTCTCCCCCAATGTCCTCTGCAGGTCCCCCTCCCAGGATACATTGAAGCTTACCCCCGGTCACGTTATCAGCAGAATTCACCATCAAGGCTGCCTCGCCAGTACAGCCAGCCATCGAACCTACACCCTAGCTTGGAGCAGGCCCCAGTGCCCTCCGCCGCAGCTTCGCAGCAGAGCCTTGCAGAGAACGACCCTTCCGACACACCTCTGACCAACATCTCCACGGCAGCCCTCGTCAAGGCCATTCGGGAAGAGGTGGCCAAACTGGCCAAGAAGCAGACAGACATGTTTGAGTTCCAGGTCTAATGCCTTGCTACTAGGGGTCTCTTGACTTCTAAACTCTGAGGAAACAGTCTTGAGATTTCTCAAGCCTACCATGTTGGGACTTGTGAGAAGGCAAAGACATGTGCTGCTCACCCTCCATTTCTGATAAAGTGAACTGTGGTACTTCTGAGAAACAGAAAACTCTTAACTGACTGGCTTCTTGGCTCATTCAACTAATCATGTGTCAAAAGTCCCTGCTTGGGTTCTTATGTTTGACATTGTGTTGTGTTAAATGTAAGAAGCGTGGGTATGTTTCCCTGTGGAGCGTTAGTCACAAAAGGTACTAGCTAATCTACAGGTTCCTGTGCAATGCCACATTTTAATGAATCACCGGGGGGAGAATCTAGCTCTATCTTCAGTGACCTCTGCATGTTAACTCTATTTCTGTGTTCAACCCAATGCAGAAGTGTGGATTAAGCACCAGACTGTACTCTCTTTCATTCAGCCCTGACTGTCTTCGTAAAAATCATCTCCAGCCTATGAGGGAGGTGCTGACTCCAGCTAAGGAACTTGAGTCCTTTTCTTTCAGAAGTTCAGATTCAAAGTCAAATGAGTTGCAGGAAAATCAGTACTATCAGTGGCTGTGCCTATAAATAGCCCTGACTCTCCTCCCTCCCCCATTGATTAAACAAAAGCCAAGGAAGAAAGGAAATGAGAAGGGATGGTGGATTTGTGTAGATGGGGTTTTGAAAAGGTGTTGTCATTTGGAAACAGAGTACCTTACAAGTTGGAATTGAACTGAAAGAACATAGGTGCTAAGAGCTTTTAGGATCCTACAAAAGAAAAACAGTTATGTGTGGAGGTGTTTCTATGCCCTGCATTGAAGATGGCCTGAGAATGGAGCATCCCTCTTTTTTAGAATAATAGTTCACCGACTTTTATAAGAAAACCTCTGTCTATTCAACAATCGTGTCCAGCATGTGCTGCCAAGTGCTACAAAAGGAAACAGTAATAGGTGCCTGTTAGAAACTGGAGTGGGGGACCCACACTCTCCCTAAGTTGCAGCAAGTGTGTATAGAATCTTACGAATGTAGAAAATCGGTTGCTTTGTGTTAAGTGTCAGTAACATTTTTCAAAGTGTATGGAGTTAGTCAGATATCTATAGTTCATGGACACAGAGGACATTTGCTGAAATAACAGGGTGACCTGGTGTGATGCTGCGAGTTAATGTACTGACTGCAAAGTCGATTTGAACCACAAGGTCAGAGATTCAAGTTCACGAGTTGCTCCTCGGAAACCCTATATGGATCACTATAAGTTGGAACTGACTCAACGGCACTTAACAATAACAACCTTTTGAGCAGGATGTAGGAAATCACCCTCCCTGGCATGGGAAATCGGCCTCTTGAGCTCCAGCAAGAAGATGTAACCTTGTAACATTGAAGGCGTCAATGATTCACAAACCCTCAAAGCATTACTACTGACTTTAGTAGGGGAGAGGGAGGGAATTCTTTGGTTTTCTCACCAGATTTGGGAGCTGTGTACAGTTTTGGGGCCTTACTTGGTGTCTGCTGGAGAATGAGGTATTTCAGCCCATGATCCATTTAGCTTCAGCAGTTTCCCTCCCCTTCTGAGCCCATCTTTCCATTCTCCTCATGAGTTTCTTTGGTCTTTACTAAGAGAAGAAGGTGGGAATTTAAGATATGAGAGAAGAGTAGAAATGGAACTGATTGTGACACTCAAAACTATCGAAGCACAGACTTTTCAAAGAAGCTGTCGTATTCCCCAATGGCAAATCGCCCTTTTTGAAAAGTACTGGAGATGAAATCCCCAAACGAATCTCTTGTTCAGGTGATATTAGGTAGTGTCCTTTTGGTATGCTGGTTGATCTTTCATAGCGTTAGTTTTTGTTACTTAAAAAAAAAAAAAAAATCAGCTATAAATAAAATGTATTTTTGTAATTTCCATGTGTATATATGGTATATTTCTACCAATGATCAGTTGTTGTAGTCCAAATCCCAAATCTGCTTGCAAAACACTGTGGACAGTGCAAGGTTTTATTGACAGATTAAACAGGATGCCTAAGTCTATCAAAATAGGCATGCAATGCACTTGAATGAACAAAGAGCCAAAGAAACTCTGCCTTTTCATGCAAATGGTATGCGTCTGATAAAGTCAAATACATTGTCCCACTTTACCAACAATATTAACATTTCATCTGCACAATGATGATATCTATCCACTACCTTGCCTACTTGGTAAAAGCCTGGAAATACTGTATATGAAAGTGAGGTGTCAAGACCTTAGTATAATTGAAATATATGTACATGTTTCAAAAGACAGTATCTGGGCTCTGGATGTTCCAGTGACTCACAGAGAAAGGAGTCCACGGTTCACAATGGTACAGTTCCAACTTGCTAAGAATGTAGAGTCACAAATCATGTGGTTGAACCCCAGGAAATATTGAATTACTCAACTGAGGTGACTAAATACGTAACGTGTTAAACCAGACGCTCTCTGAACCTAGACACCACAAGTATAAGAAAAAATATATGGGAAGAAAACCTTACATTGAAAGGATGTGTCCATGTTTTTCTACCAATTGGGAGATAGCCGCCATTGTTTTTCACTGACTTGAGATGGGGTCCATTCTCTGAAGCATCTCCTAACCTCATAGAGATGACAGATACCTGTAGAGCTTACTCTGAGGAAAGGCAGATGGGTTTTTTTTTTGTTTTTTTTTAAAGTGCCTCATGGAAGTAAAAATAGAGTTCTATGAGAGCCTAGTGGAGGCCGCAGTTAACTGTGCTTATCATGAGTTCCTGGAGCCATGGAAGCCACAAAGGAAGGACCTTGGTGACCTCAGAGGAGAAAGATCAAGTTTAGAGAAATGGTGTGAGCTGCCTGCCCCAGGGATTCAAGCCCAAGACTGCTGATTCGTGAATCCATCTTGCTTCCCATTTCACCATGCTGCCTCCACACTTGTCTGTAACACACTTCTTTAACTGTACTATAATTTTTTAAAAAAGTATAGAAGAGTTACATGAAAAACTCCTAATGTTCTTGAGGAGAAAAACGATGATTGACTATATAAGGAACTTCAGATAAAGTGTATCAAATACAAATCATTTGTGGCATAATAAACACTTGTTGGCACTGGTCTCCATGTGATTTTTCTGCATTAATGAAAAAGAAATACATTCTGCCAAAGTGGCTTCTTCCATAGAGGGCATCAAAGAAATGATTCTTTGATTCTCAATGGCTACTCATGATGTGGGGATGTATCCCTCTCTTGTGTTATGGATCCAAACAGACAAGTACGTCATTATACCTTGTCACCATGAGGCAACATCTGCCATGCTCTGACACCTGGGGCATCAGGGGGTGGAGAGGGAAGAGAAGAGCACACTGCTGCTTGTGGAGTGCAGGACTGCTCAGGTCTACTGTGTGCCCCGTTGGTACTCTGATCTGAGGCTTGTGCACTGATGAGAGGGAAATTGTTACCTCTAGAGTAGGAAGTTGCCGCTTTCAGAGTAGGTTGTACAAGAATCAATTCTCTGATCCCAGGAGATGTTATATTGTGTGTTTGTTCAGTTCAGAACTCAGAAGAAGGCTATGTAATTTCTGAGTCATCTGGATGGAAGAATGGTATCTTAGTTCTCTAGAGCTGCTGTAACAGAAATACCACAAGTGGGAGGCTTTACCAAACAGAAGTAGATTTTCTCACAAATTCAGGGTGCTGGCTCTCGGGGATGGCTTTCTCTCTCTCTGAGCTCTGGAGAAAGTTCCTTCTCCAGACTTTCACGTGGCTTGGCATGTGTCTTCCCCATCGCTGCTCTCACTTGCTTGTTTAATCTCTTTTATATCTCAAAAGAGATTAACTCAAGACACACCCCATACTAATCCTGCCTCATTAGCATATCAAAGACAACTCATTCCCAAACTGGATTGTAACCAGGGGCATGTTGTTGTTGGGGCAGTATTAGTATGGGGTGTGTCTTGTTATGTGCCCTGGAGTCGATTCCGACTCATAGTGACCCTATACAGGGTTTCCGAGGCTGTAAATCTTTATGGGAGCAGAACGCCTCATCTTTCTCCCGCGGAACAGCTGGTAGTTTCGAACTGCTGACCCTGAGGTTCGCAACCTGATTTGTAACCACTACACTACCAGGGGCATAGAGGTTAGGAATTACAACACATATTTTGGAGTAACAAATGGGTAGGAAACTTAAATCTATGATTTAAAAAAAAAAAAAAAAATACAAAGAAACCCTGAAAGAAGGTCAGTTGGAGGAGGTGTAGAATTTAAAAACTTGTGAAAACAAATGCTTCTCTAAATTAGAGTAAAACCTTTAAATATTGATTACACACAAGCTACATTTTCTACTTAACACACTGGAGTTCAATAAAATAACAGATTCTATTTTTAAGGTTTAGGAACAGGATTTGAATTTAACCCATTCCTTTTATGCTTCACAATACACCAAAAAAAAAAAAAAAAAAGCCTGGGCCGTCCTTATAAATATAGCCAAATGTTTGTTCTTCAGAAAGGAGAATACTTTAGAGTTGTGACTAATTCAGATCAAAGTGTTAGAGATTCAATTCTGCCTTTTAGTCCAACCTTGAAAATATTCTTCTAGTCAAAGAACTTGATAAGAACCGAAAACCCACTCAAACGTGCTCAAGTGTAGGAGGCTGACTGAAAGAGTACAGGGGCATTTCATAGAAACCAAACACAGCTCCTGTCATGGGAAAGGGATTGTATCTGGTGCCCTTGCTCTGGCTCTCTTTGTCTCTAGTGCACTCTCTACATGGGTTTTTGTGGCTATTTTTCTGTGTGTAAATGCGTAGTTCTCTTGTTTCCCCCAAACAACCAGCTTTCTCCACTTTCTCATTAGGATGGATATATGTAGCGTAAAAATCTACCAAAGTACCGACTCCATATAACGTTTCCTTTTAGTGCCCACCACTCTCTAAGTTACTTCTTTGGTCTCTAAGGTAGATTCTTAAGAATCTGGTTGATCCAAGTCATCTGCCATGGGTGAGCCACCCTTGGGTCAGGTGCCCAGACAAGAAAACCTCAATTGAAAAGGCCGAAGTATATTGGCAGGGTCATGTAATGTAAGCATGACCACCTGGACTGATGAGGATCAGTATACAGAGGAGGGGGCACAAGCTGGACAGAACCTTCTAAGGAACCAACTACAGTTGAAGTTGACCAGAACTTCTAGGATGTCACCCAGTACAGGCTACATAGAGCAATCTCTATGGCTCCTGCCACAGACAGGAAGGGGCGTCCTTCAGTTTGAGCATCAGAGGAGAATGCATGCTCTTAAAATCCTAGTGGGTTGGGTGGGCCTGCCCTGACCACTTCCCACCCCAGCACCAGTACTGTTGATACTGCCACTGGGTCTAAGGAGTGAGTTCTGACCCAGGCCCAGGTAGCACGATGCTTTGCTTCCTAGACAATAAATACTTTAAAATGGAATTGCATGATTGTAGCTCAAGTGCTGTTAATGTAGTTCACGGTCACTAACTTGCATGGGTGAGAAAACCGATGAGCTTCTCAATCGAGTCTTTTGAAACAAAATAGGTTTCAAGGGAAACTGATATTGCGACTCTGTCCTTCCAAATATAATGTTATTGTCCCGAGAATTGAAAGGTCTTTTGAATTTTGAAGGTGAACTGTTGGAGAATTCTAGCCTGTGGTAAGTGATAAAATGTAGAGTATTTATGAAGAGGAATATTTAGGAGATACAGTACATAGTGAAAGAAACAAGTGATTTTAGGCAATAGGACATTGCTTTGATTCTGCAGGTATATAAAATGAAGGAAATTTATTATGGGGCAGAATGTGTCATAAATCAAACCTGTATTTTAGTGAAAGCCATTATATAATGACATCTGCACTGATTATTTTCATTGTCTATCCTTGGTTAGACTTTTAAAAATGATGACAGGAGGTTATCAATGGATTTTACAGATATGAGCTGTGGCCTTGTCTTGTTTTCCTCCATTTCTCCCTTACGTGGAGTACCAACCACCCTCCACACAAACTGAAGAAAAAGGAGGTTTATACCCAACAGAGTCAGAGGAGTAACACTGGACTGTGCGTTCTGAAAATGGTGCAGATGGTTTAGTCTCAGACTCTTCATCTGTCAAATGGGTATAACAAAATTTGCACTTCCTACTTACATGGTGTTTGTG